ATGAGCACTGAGTTTTAATTCAGTGCAGGTGTCATGACCAGCTGTGTAACAACGAATGAACTGTAAAGTGTCTGCTATTAAATTATACTTGTAAAACCATATCAAAGTTTAGTGAATGACGAGTTCCTTTCAGTTGTGTTTTTCTAAAAGAAATACGTCAACGAAATGCGCGTCCTGGATTCTGCTGCTAGCCACTATCCATCACTAATATATGATTGACACACAGGCAATGTCAAGGCATTCGCGCTGCAACCCGTATCCCAGCAGAGACTGACCAATCCGGTCCACTCATCGACGGATAATACAAACCACAACATTAAAAATTATACCCATCACACAAGAAGTGACTATAGTGACTCGGTGATGCAGTGGATAATGCTCTGGCGTTTGAAGAAATCGGCCCTGAGTTCGAGTCCTGCTGGGAATAACAACGCTCACTGGGAGGCAGGTACCTCCAGCTGACGAGTACCAAATAGGATGAAACGCATTCTTGAATTCCACTGCTATCCACTACCCATCATTAATATATATAAATCCAGTATCTATTATGATATTTAAGTAATTTTAACATTTACTGGCACAAAAACTTGTTCACATGGACATCAGTCTTCCTCACTCTCTGCCTTCTACATCTTTTTGTTGCAAAACTTCAATTCACACTGAAGTTGAACAAAATACAATTTTTTTAAAGTAGAAATAGTCATAGTGATTTTTTTGTTCCTAATGTGATTCTTACTTATCAAATTAATTGAAATTCATTCACTTTTCTATTTCTAGGTAATGCCTAGACCATATAAACTTCGTGTAAATTAATTCACATGAAAAAGTTAAAATGATTGATGAATTGAATGAATAACAAAATAACATTTATTTAAATTGTGAATATGGGTTGTTTGAATTCTGTAAGCTGAATAGATGCTGAATTCAATCCGATGAAATGCTTTTATTTTATTCAAGAAGTAGGGGCGAAGATAACCAAGAAACCTAGACTAGTGATCTCTACAGTTTACAGGTTCAAAACTATCAGCTAAGCAAAATGACTGTGGACTATTGAACTCATACCTAGTGTATGTATGGTCAGTGCCTTTACCAAGAGATCTGAATGCCATGAATTCGATCTCCGATGGAGGTGTGGGGGCGTACTGCTGAGGAGTCCCATTCTAGGACGAAACAGCTGTCCAGTGCTCTCAGGTTTTCAACGGTTCTCCAGCTGATTTCTGTCCGTGATGAATGCTGCATTAAACATAGAATCCTCATTAACTTCAAACTAAATGACTTAAAATATCTCGAAGGCTATTTGGAGGTTCTGAGTGATTGAAGTGACATGTAAAGCTGATTAGTAGTTGGTTCTTATACTTCAGTAACTAAAACGGGGACTCGTTACCCACAACCCACTAGTTCGATTTCTGCAGTGAACCAGATTTATGCTTCTGTATCAATAAACACAGTCGTACATTAAGTACAGTCTGCTAAATAAGAATATCTCAAATATGATCTAGTTAAGAGCCATATTGTTGTTTTCTCTTTTTTGTTCCCGGCCGTTCTGGATTGAACTGTAAAGATCTGATTCGGTAATTAGCATGATGATGATCATCTGGCAGATACAGGCCACTAAAGCACATAACATCTGAGAAAGACACTTAGTTGTTCAGGTGGATCTAAGATTTGGTTAGTCCGTAAAGTACTAATAACCTTTAAACCAGGGGTCCCAATCCTCCAGTGCACGAAACGTTATTTCAACGATGACTGTACCAGGCAATCGCCTGATGAACAATAAGTAACGCTAGAACACTCAGTTGTACCCCCCATGAAAAATACTAACCAGTTAATTTTAGGATGTAACTAATATTGCTCTGCTCATGCTCACCAGTTTGCCTGTATTCACGTACTAAGCTATTACTATTATTATGTAGATACATACTTCAAGTTCTACGTGATCAGAACTATAATCAACAAAATCATGTTATGCAAGGAGATGCAAGCTGAGCCAATCACTTAATCTGATCATTGCGATTGGCTATCCAATATAATCTTAACCAATCAAAAAATAAATAAGGTTGATCGATTCCTATGAAGGTTATCGCAAGGATGTTGGTGTATTTTAACATTTTCATAATTTAGGTTGATGATCGCATAGAAGTCATCGATAGGAAATATTTATAAGAAAAGAAAAAAATATGGGGTATGTATGTGAAATAATCGTCAGATAATAACTAACAGCTGAATATTCTAATAAGAGTTATTCTCACTAGCAGCTTAATAGGATTTTCATGAAATGAGATTATACTAATTATCTATAATTAGTTAGTGATATGTGGCATGAATCGTAAAGGCTGTTGGTGAGAATCTTGTTAAAGCCTACCTTTTAGTTTTTGTAAGCACTAATGCAGGTCAGTTAGAACTGAAAAAGTATTATAAAAATACTATCGGGTTTTCGGTAAGACTCAAACCCAGGCTTATAGCAGTGAAAAGACTAACTTTTATTGGTAGGGAAATTGCCATACATGAATGTGAATGGAGAAAGAGAGACAGAAAGGAAGAGCAAGTTGTTTAGAACCAAGTTTGCTGTAATGTAGTAACACATAGCCAACGCATTCACTCATACAATTATCGACAGTTTTATTCGCTTCCTATATGTATTCATTAAAAAATTGACATTATGAGAACATTTCACCCATCATTTTAAAGGGAATCCTTCTCACGAAGTTGAAACTTAAGAAGTGATATTTCTATTAAACACCTTACAGTCCCTTCCATCCACATCTCTTATGAGGTCAGCTGAAGAATAAAGCCTGCACATCATCATTCTAGAAGTTTCACACCATAGTCAACAAGTGGGGAAATGAATGTCACTGACAAATATTGTTTAATCTCTGAATGTAGCACTTCATCTCAGTAAAACCAATCTAGAGCTGATCCAAAAGCTCCCAAGTCACGTACGTCCTCCCTAACAAGCATTTGTGTGACCGTTAATTACTTAACCTTACATTGGTGATATACTTTTGCCTGTTGGATAAAGTTTTAGTCATATCCTTGTGTCACTGAATACAGAAACGCTAAACTCATTTCTATTTTCCTCGGCAGCCAGATAAAATAAGTTTATCATTTTCAACTATGTAACTGCGAAACGTTCGCTCCTTCTTGTTCAAATTATATGACGTTTAAAAATGCGTATTTACTCTGTATAAAAACTCTACAACAGAGGCTAAATTTATTCTAGTCATTCTTATGCTTAAACTTCATTGCTTAGAAATTTGTTTATTTATCAGTTATGAAACAGTTTCATGCGAAAAAGTGACCGAAATATAGATTCATATACTAGTACTGAAAGCTCAGTGACAACTGATAGGTAGAGCTATGTTTACTTCAACTGTATGATTATCGGTATAACTCAGTAAACTCAGCAAAACCTGATGGTCATGAGGACAGTTACTGAACGATGATATTGGATGGCAGTTGCGCTATATCGTGAGCTAACAGAAGTTGGAAATATGGATCATTGAATTCTGACCCAGTGGCCCAATGGTAACGCGCTGGCCAAGGAACCTGAAGGTTGCGGGCTCGGTCCCTGGAGCGGTTGTGGGTGCTCACTGTTGAGAAGTCCCATACTAGGACGAAACAGCTGTCCAGTGATACCAGGTTTCCTTTGTTCCTCTAACTGATGTCAGTCTACGATGAACAACAACTTGAAATATTTCCAAATCCCCATAACTCCCTAAAAAATAACTCCTCAAAGCCTGTCTGTCAAATAAGAGACTTAAACGTCCAGTACTAAGTTGAACATTTTCAGTTGTTGAGGTTGAATTCGTTTGCTGAGCCGTATGCATTTATCTCTTGTTCGACAGTGAACAAGACGGCTATTTCGGGAAAAAAAAAGAAATAAGTGATGGAGGGTTTTTATTCGCCTAAAATTATGTCTATTAACCGATTATGCTAGAGTCCCAGATGTGTGATGGAAGGTAGTAACCATATAGTTTTTTCTGATATCGAGAAAGGCATAATGAAGCTACTGATAAAGAAATAACTATCTGCAGACATTAAAAGTGTAGTCATTTTGTGAAGAACTTTCAGATTCCTCAGTTAATTCCTCTTGTAACCGCGTAGTATAAATCAACCTAACAGATTAACTTCATATTAATGCCATGGGTATCACAGTTGAGTTCGTTCAGTTATGAAATTAGAGGGAAGGCCCTCACGAATAAAACAAGTGGGTTTCCTTTTGTTTCATTCGCTCTAGTCCGGCTGATGATTAATCCAACCATTAAAAAAATATTATTAATACTGGGTGATGACTGAAGGTCAAATGAAAATTTGGGCAGCGACAGGATTCGAACTGGTGACCACCTGATTTTCGCTCTGGTGTCCTAACACCCATATCAATACAAGTCTGCCAAACCACACCTACTTCAGATAGATAGTCAAACTGGAAATTTTTACTACAGTTGGGTGATTTACTTAGACAAACAATATTAGAAGTCTTGAATCTCCATCTTTCAGTAGAAATTCCACTAGGGTCAAAGTCACACTGGCGACGGACACTCATCTATTAAGAATTGTGATGCATAAATTAGCTTCAAATGCCTTGCAAGTGACCCATTTATTTTCCAATATCAATAATACTAATGCTGAATGGAAGCAGGAGGGGTATGATTCACTTTCGATGAGGTAAAAAGCTGTTAGTTGGGTGGAGGTGATGGTAGGAAACCCTGGACTTAGGCTCCATGCTTGTCAGCGTACCCGTGATCACAGGGAAACTATCCATCCCTTCCCATGAGATCCAAACCCACATCAACTAGTGCTGCAGCTAGATATGCTGTCAATGAGCTGCTAGGGCCATGATTTACTTCAGTTAGGATGGGATCAAGTAGAAAACAAATTACCCCAAGATATTTATTGAGTCTCTAACGATAAGTGAATACGGCTAAAGAAAGCTTTTTAGATTATGTTCAATTAAGCACTAAAATATCTTTTGAGAAGAATTTAAGGGTGAAATGACTTACTCATACAATGCTGCTCTAGCCTTGTGAATAGGTGTTTCAGAATTATTCATACCATGTTGTCCTGTATTTACACTACCACCACCACCTATGGATCCTGAACTGATTCCTCCCGCTGATGTTCCTGACGGTGTTGAAGTAGAAGAAGTTGGTGGCATACTACTTAAATGTCGTGAATTCATTTCGGAATAATTTAAGTGAGAATGTGATCCAGCAATAGGATTATTCGTAGACAAACGGTGGGGATTACCATGACCGTTATTGGTACTGTTACTATTATTACTGCTGTTTATTCCTCCACCTCCACCAGCAAGCATACTACTCATATTTGACCCAGTACCAATTCCGCCTCCTATTGTTGATGTATTTGGATAGGCTGTAGGATAATAGGATGGTATATTATTACTGCGACTAGTATTAATACAATCATCTTCTGGATTATTTGAACTATTCTTGCGCTTTATATTGACACCACCATTATTACTGCTGTTATTAGTAGTACTACAATGATTTGGATTACATCTAGTCAAATTATTATCCATACTCTTGTTAACATTACTATTATTATGATGATGATGATTAGTTGTTGATAATGTTGTGGGTGAAATCATCGGGGAATTTGTTATGAAATTGGATGTTGAGTCACACGGCCTTGAAGTGAATGAATTCGATGGTTCTGTCTTCATTAGTGTTGTTATTGTTGTCAGCTGGTCTGTATTCATAATACCTGGATTCATACTGGATGTTACAGGACCGGGATCGATGCATGTAGCTGCTGGGACGGAGGAGGAGGAAGAGGAAGAAGAAGAAGAAGAAGAGGAACCAGCAGAATATGTCGATGATACATTGGCTGGATGATATGCATGATTGCTGTGAGTTGAAGCAATTTTGATACTAGAGTTGCTACTTCTATCCTCATGGTCATCACAAGAAGTATTTGTATCATAAGATAACATTTTATTGCTATTACTGTTATTGCTAAGTTGTTTATTACACGAAGAAGGATATACGGAGGTTGGAGTTCGATTTGGTGAAGAATGAGCCATTGATGAATATGTTTCAGGCGAATTCTGACGGAGAAAATAGATATCAAAAAGTATATTGTTCTCAGTTAATAAGTTAAAAGCGAAAGTTATGGAAAATAACGAAAAAAACAATGAGCAAAAATATGAAATTTTGAATTGAACCAATTCAATGTATGGTAAGTCTTATTAACAGATGATCGAATTATTCAGTACCTCTGGAAGGCGACATGTTTTGATATCAAAACAACTCATCAACCCATTGTAGACCTATGAACTAATCTTTTTGAGGAAATAATGAAACAGTCTGAATCCCTAGTCTGAAGCAGATAAAGTTGGGTCGGAACTGAAATGATTTTACCAATTTATGATTGTTTTCAATTTTTGTATATGTTCAGTAATGATACTGCTGAACGGTGTGAATACTTTAGAAACTGTTTACATAGTTCTTAGTATTTTACTAGTTACATCGGAGTGGTCTGTGCATATAGTAGCCGTTTCACTCGTTTTCAGACAGAGTTCATCAGTAGCACACTCGGATAATATTCAGCTCTGGCCTGATGAGTCCAATTACGAATGAATGAAACATTCGTCCAGTGTTTAGATAACCGTGACATAGTTAACAAAATCTTCAACTCAGGATAATTGATTACTAACTACTAATATTATTTACTAGTATACTTAGTTATTTCCTAAAACTTTTGTAGCAAATATCGCATTTTTTTCATTGTCTACTTTCCTCAGCAAAAAAGCTACCATATGAACTATGGGACACGTTTTCTAAGTGAATATCTGCAACCAAACAAGGATCCACCAGATACTTTACACTATGGAATTATATAAATGGAGACAGTGGACACAAAGCTGTAACATTTGTCACTAGAAGCTGTCCATTCATGGTTGACGAAGTAAGAGATTCTCAAACCTAGTATCCACATACAGGAAAGAGTACGAATTCCTTCTACATTGCATATATATATATATATATATTGCATATATATATATATATATATATATATATATATATATATATATATATATATATATATATATATATATATATATATATATATATATAAAGTTTCCTATCAGAAATGCAACGAATCTCACATTGACTTCGCTTGTCTTAATTATCGTGCTATAGACTTTGATTGATGGGCATCAGTATGTACTGAGGACTAATACTGATTTATGCACAGACTATTTCATCAACTTATTTCATGGCAGAGCTAAGGCTTACAATCATTAATCTTTACACGGAATAAATATACAAACAGTAACACTTGTTACTCAGATTATTGAAATTTGTTCATATGATATAAATTTAGGGAAATTTATTTTTCAAAACTGTTGAACTTCATATTCTCCTCCTACCCTTATAGCAGTTACTATGATTAGTTTGAACAAGCGACATCTTGCCGCATAGTAACAAATAAGCAGAAAGTAATTGGAACTATAACTAGTTGATAATTAATCAAGTTTGAATGTAGGTATTTAGCAAATAATGTTTTTAGAGGTTTTTCTCTCGATTCTATGAGAAAGGTGAATAATAAATGACGTACATTATTAATAATATTTTACATTAAAACTATCTTCTTCCACAATAAAATATTTAGTTGATTAATCAGTTATGGATGAGGAGATTTTTTAAATACTACCAAGCTGTGTGTGTATGTGTGTATGTAATTGTTTACCATAACGATTTCAGTGGTAAACTAGACTATCAATCATCCTATTTAAGGTAACCTTTTCAGTGGGTAGGTTGATTGATGTTTACATTCATTAGGTGGGTGACTGATCTTAAAGGCAAACCAAGGTCACAGTATATTTCATTCTAGTAGCATGTAGCATGCTAACCTGAATAGCCAACGGACCCAATCACATGATAGAATTGTCCTGGGGTTGACACTTGGGTCCTGACCTGCGTTTCAGATAATAAACCACTGACCTAGTAATTCAAAGTTTTTTCGGTTCCATTTTACTCCCGATGTAATTGCATCATATTAGTGGTGATAAGATGAAAAGTTGACGAGTCTGTGCACAAATTAATAAATTAGTTAACGGTCTGCGGGTAATTTTATTGTGTTGACTGATCTGCAAAATAATTTGGAATTTTGTAAATAAAAGAGACTTTTTATTTCATAAAAAGTATTTTTAGCCAGTTGTTCTGCCTGGTGAAACCAACTGAATGGGAGCGTCGATAAGCTGTTTTGCGTGAGGAGTCATAACTCGCATATGCTATTAGTCAGTTTAGTTAGTCAATTGACGCCTTCCTTGGTATTTATGAAACTGAATTTTCACACTGTAGTAAAGGTTAGAGTTTTTTATTCAGTATTCAGGTGATATATGGATAAAAAGTATTCTTCAAAAGAGAAAAACTTCTTGCTTATTGAATGTACAACTAATTATTCCTGTGTATATGGCCTTATAACCAAATAGATGTCCTAGTGTGGACAAATCGGTCAATCAATGAACTTCGGGTATTCCAGTCGACTGATATTGATCTGTAAAATAACGTTAAATTATATTTATTTTGTGTTATTCATCTAGTGCATCAGTAAGTTTTAAATTTCTAACATCAGTACTATGGAAGCGTTGGTTCAATAACTCATTTCCCGTGAGCAATCACCGCTTATCAACACTTCTACTTTCCATGTCGACTCATCCTTTCTATTACAGTATTTAAGAATATTAACACTGATTGTTTTTTACAGCAGAAATATCGACTTTAGTGGTATAAATCATGTTTACAAAAGCTGTGCTTACCACAGACTACTTGTTCTCCCAAACATTAAGTAAGGAAAGTAGTGAACTTTATTTCGTGTTAGAAGTAAGGGACAATTAGAGGGAAAATTGGGGGGGGGGTGGTAGGCTTTCTGGTTGAAGACCCTTGACATGTTTTTACGTGCATTCAGTAAAACTTCAAATTTCCTGCTGATAAGTGGATAGACTTTACCGGTTAGTTCAACCAGCTTGAGCAAACTCATTTTCTTCTCTACCTATAGTTAAGTCTCCCCTGCATGTCGCGTAATAACATCATTGAAGTGCCCTAGGACATTCTTCCGAGCATTAGTGAGGACGAAGATGGCATTTTGGGTAAAAATTGTTTCACCTAGTAAATTTGTAAATCTGCAGTAACTAAGACGAGAGTGCTCCAAATGGTGAAGGATATTTCTGGCTCAGAGGAGTAATTTGTTGATGTTCTAGCCCCTGAAATGGAAAACCCAACTGTGAAGGTCTCATTTTTCTTCTAGAATATATCTTCAGTATCACAAAACTTCAAAAGTTTTTTTCAGATGGTACTGCTAAGAAGCACAAAGAAAGCTTCACTATTTAACAGTTCAGCTTAAAGAACGCAATACCAGTCAAGTAAACGTGTTCATTCTATTCTTTCTCAGCCTATGATGTTGAAATGAAGTATAAATCGATGGCGGAAAATGTTGGATCTGCACCACGTGAGCAAAAAATTTGAGAGTTTACAAAACAATGAAATCTCGTTATTTAATAGAAATTAGTTGTGATAAGATTTGTACTGCTTATCAATATGAGTAATAAGAAACGATTCACTTCGATAGAATGAACGCTTGGTTCATTGAAGGGTCAACCTCATCAGCTGTTTTTCCCAGGAAATTCAACTCACAGAAAAGTTACACTTTTGAGATTAAACGAATCTAGCAAGGAGACTTGACTGCAAAATGAATGACTAGTTTGAATTATTGGAAAACCAGGTTACTGTGAATTTCTTCCCTGCTTTCTCCGTATGCATTCAGAAGCTGAGTGCGATTAATCTCTCAGTCCACTCATGACTATGATTTGATTCTGTTTCATTTCCATTTCGGTTACATAACTCTTTATACTGGGTGACGGTTGAAGGTGAAATGACAATTTGGACCGCTGCCAGATTCGAACCAGCAACCCTAACCTGGTTTCCGGCTAGATCCTCCACCCGGTGGTCACTGGTTCGAATCCGGCTGCGGTCAAAATTGTCATTTCACCTTCAATCGTCACCCCGTATAAATACTGGTCTGCCAAATTACGGCCATCTAAGATAGTCAACATAAGTCTTTATTTATTTATTTGCTATTATTTTTCCGTTCTTACATTTTTTCCCTGTGCAGTTATTTCTCTTATATTTCATATGGACTATCAATGATTTTATTATGCAAATTAAGAGTTCCCAATTTTGAAATGTCTTATGCACTAGCCATCGTACTTTTAAACTGTATGCAACTGAAGAGTATTTATGAAATAAGATTAGATCATTTTATTCTGAAGATTTCGTCTTTCATCTTCTGTCCAAATAGATAACTATCAGCATGAGATTTAATCAATGCCAATAATACGGAAATCAGCATGTATTATCCCGCTTTAAATATTCCACATCCTATCATTGCAGCATTACGTAGTACCTAGTTTATCCTTTCTGAAATGTCCTCTTTTTATAACTATGCCATAATTACAATCGATTGGCGATTGCACTATACAGATGATGAATTGATTTCTTCAGCCTACATTTCGGTCTTCAATTTTCTTATCTCTATTATAGTTTGTCCTCATCAATCTCATTCATTATTCATCTGGACATAGTCAAAATATTATTAATTTCAATAATTTAATTATAATCATTATTATCGTTATTATTGACTTCACTTCTAATTCTCTAAAGATAAGGCATAATAAAATAAGAATTTATTTTCCTTGCAGAAATGCCTGGTTAGTTCTCTTTTCAGAGAAATCGATCTACTTCATTCGTGCACATAAGCAAACAGACAAGAGAATGAGATTTTGAAAACATCGAATATGTTTTATAATGGACAAGAAAGTAGACATAATGTAGGAAATATTCAATTTGTTTCTTCCCTAACCTCGTCAAACACAAACGCGCACATACGGGCATTTGTGTATCGTGCATGTAGGCAGTTACAGTCAGTACTGCCGTAACTCAAAATAATATAGAATATGGCAATTTATCATCCTACTGGGTATACAAAGACACACGTATATCTAAGCGCGTAAGAAAACGATTCGTTGACCTCGAACTGTCAAAA